AGACTCTAGGATAATAACAACTCCGGTGGTGCCCCTTTTTTAAATGAGAGCTTTTTATGATGAATATTTTCTGAATATGAAAATTCATAATTGGGTATTAATTCTCATAAATTTATTAAAATTGATAGCTAAGTTTTAGCCATGCTACACCAGTGTTTTACAATAAGCACGCCATTTGTTTTCACTCTGGAATTTGGGAGTTTTACCTGGCTAGGTAACTGAAAAATGTTCAAATCCAGGTTTGTTGTTTCACATGTATGACTACTACTTTATTGAACGCAGATTACATTTCATTCACAGTTAACATGAGCTAGAGGAAATGAGATGTTTGCTAAGAAAAGAGTAAGTTGAAAGTTAAAACTTGAAATGATAAGAATTATGAATTAGAGATGATAATGCAGACTGTATTTTATGATAGTGTCTTTGGTTCTGGTTTGGTTGGACACGACTTCCAGCGTCGGCCGATGGCCGTGCTGTTCACACGACTCAACTTGCCGTGTTGTGACGGAAGTGTTGAAGTCGTTGTGGCGTTCACACTACCTGACTGATCGGTGACAGGGGGTCATACACTACACGAGCTGACAGCGGCTGTGTCACCCGACGCTGGTCTCCAAACCAGGTTTTGTCAAGAAAACACACGTGAAATGTGAAACGGGAAATGAGGCGAACCTACAGACAAAACAGCTGTTTGTTATTATAAAGACAAAGACTCTGGGTGAAAGAAAGGATTAGCACAGGCAGGTAGCAGGGATCGTCTGAGCTACAGAGAGCTGGAGGGGAGTAAAAAGTGTTTTGCGGTGAAAAGTAGCTGCCTGCTCTCATTGGCTGGATGTGGATGTCGAGTCGGCCGAATGTTCCAGATATTTGGGTGCTAGATATCTGGCCGGCATCTGCGATGTGTCAGAAATGTGTCGGGAAGCCGTTTTGAAGCGTCCTTGAGTAGTTCACACATGACGACTGGCGACCGCCGATCGATCTCTGATTTACCCCTGATCACAGCCTGACGGTCGCCGAGCGGCAAATCGGGCTTAAAACTGTGTGGTGTGAACTAGGCTTTACTCTAAGCTAGACCTGTCTGACCTTTCCTTGTTACATAAACAAAGCACCTTAAGAAATCTTCTCAACAGTTCTCTAAAGGCTTCAACTACTCGTGTAAATGTGCTGTTATTTAACTGCAGTGGAGTCTTTTCTCTGATGAGCTGATGTTGATATGGAAGTTGTTGATCAGTGGAGTCTGACAGAGGCAGAAGGGTCTCCATCGTTTTCATAGTTCACCACACCATCATCTTCATCTTCATCATTATTCACCTGTGAAACACAAACAAACCCTCACTCTGACGCACTTTAACTGACAGCTTTCACATCACTGACCCACATTTAAAGGGTCATTATGTAGTTTTCAGCGGCCACTAGCGCTGCGGTTCTAAGATTGCAACCAGGCGTGAGCTTGTACGCGTGCTCGCTTGAAGTCATGAGCGAGCAGAATCCAAAACACAACCACTGTCAATAAACGCAGAAACACCAGCATGCAGGCTGTGGCTTTTCACTCAGACATGTTCAGGCTCTGTTACTTCAACGTTCCCGTCTCAGAGGCAGCTCAACACCGGCGCCGTAACGTTACTTAATTCAGCAGCGAGCTGCATATCGGCACAATCCTCCCGAAAAAAGGCAGAGTGACAGCGACTATAGACAGACAGAGAGAACAGACAGAGCTGGAAACTCAGGTAAACTCCCACTGCAACGTTACAGTAATAGTTTTATCAGCTGCAGGTTGAACTAATCCGTGCTCGTTACATGATCACGGTACATTTACTGCATTTAGCCAACGTGATACATCGTTAGCTCGTCTGCTGCTTTCAGTAACTATCTTTAATGTGTGTCTCAGTGAGTGATTCGTTCATTTTCACGCATGCGTGAAGGATGTTGGACTGGCTAAAAAGCTTTGGGTGACAAACTTACCATCATTTAAGAACTAAAGAATAAGATGAAATAATTACAGTAAAATAGTATAACAGTGAGTTAAAATTAAACAGCATTTTTTAATTACCTTCAAAATCTTTGCTAAAGCTTTGTGTGACAAACTTACCATCAGTAAACAAGTGAAGAATAAATTGAAATAATGACAGTAAAGCAGTAAAATGGTATAACGGTGAGTAAAAATTAAACAGCATTACAAATTACCTTCAACAGCATGCAGCAAAATAAGAGAGTGTTCCAAATTACTTTGCTATTGCTTTGTCTTACAAACTTGCCATCATTATCACTCCAAAGCTGTAGCCTAGTCTTAAACTTGTGAGTCTTAAAACTTTAATCCTTCTAGAGTCTGTGTCTCCTCTTCTCTGTCCTCTCTCATTCTGGTGTAGCATAGGCTGTGGGGTGAATTGAGGAATGTGCTCCACCCCCGCACCTCGTTTTCTCAACGAGTCGTGTTGGGGAGTCCTGGAACACCTCCCTCTGTTTTCTCAATGAGGCGTGTTGTGTGTTTAGCTGCCATCCTCAGGTAATCTTGTAGACCAGTTATTAACTTTGGTTATCTATAACCCAGACTCCGGATGTTAAAAAAACGGTCTGGTTTTATCAGACAGAGTTCGTGAGTTCGTTTTTGAAACAGGAAGCTATTTTTATCAGCCGGAGACAAGAGTTTGGAACTAAATAATAATCTGGTTGTACCAGAAGTAACGGCCCCAACCCCTCATCAGTTATCTCCCACATGCAGAGCAGCACTCGTGTGTTTTTTTGTTTTCTTACTTCTATAAGTACCCTACCAGAAATCCAGAGGTCTTCACACTAGTGACTTGAAACCAGAGCGATGACCCTTCAAAGAGAACACGGTACGCATTCAGCCTTTCCTCCACAACTAAAGAAATAGCAAAAATCGACACTTTGTATTTTCATTCCTGCGTGTTTTCAATTAACAGTTTTTGACTTGATCGACAATGGGCTTCATTCAACCGAATATCAACTTGAAGGTAAGAGGGCCTTCTATGTACTAGAGTGAAATAGAAATGTTCTAAATTTTAAAGTGTACTATCCTGATGTGTATTTTGTATATTGTTTTTACAGATTTGTACTCAGGCGAGGAAATAGGTTCTACAAGGGAGAATGGCATTCCATCAGCGCAGGTTGTAGATCTCACAGGAGAAGTCGGTAAGTAAGGTTACCTTAACTTTTAATCAGTGTGTAGGTTTTATTTATTTATTTACAAACTTTTACGCAGATGTGGTAACAGTACTCTTTTCTTTCATTACACCCGCAGATGGTGCGAGCGATTGTGAACGGTACTTTATGCAGGGTCTCTCCCCTACCATTACGAGGAGAATGGTCCTGTTCCGGAATCGGATCAGCCCTCGGCTTCGGTACCGCAAGCGTACATAACACCGGGCTCCCCGGAACACGATGAGCCGGAATCACCCGTCGATGATGTAGAGCGCTCCAGTCAGGCCGCAGATGGGAGGTCACGTAACGGATCACCGGTAGAAGCGCGGGGACTGATAGCGGAGGAAATCATTCATCCGGACCCAGCAGAACCGTGTACGCCGCTGAATCAGACTGAGCCTATACCGAACAACAGACCTCGGAAAAGGGAACACTGTAGAAGGCTCATTTCAACCAGCAGCAGCAGGAGCAGTAGTAGGAGCAGCAGTAAGTAAATTGTTATAACGCTCTAAAACCATTAACCTAGCAAATATGCAGTCATAAAAAAAGTATAGCCTATATACACAGTTTCCCGTGATACCATGTTGCAGATTATTAGGCCATACAATTAATGAGTTAAAAGTATTCCACACTATTTTCTCAAATACAACAGCATGTCAAATGTTCTATGCAGAAAGTAGTCTTATGAGTTAACCTGACTCTAAAAGCTATTTTGCTTCTTTTCATAAAGTAGGCTATTACTGTGGTGTTTGTTCGTTTGTTTTGCACTTCTACAGTGTTTTGGTACTGATGTCTGACATTCAGGGTATTTAGTTAAAAAACTAATTTGCTTGTTTGCTATAAAGTATTAATGTAGTGATTTGTAGGGGTGATGCCTGACTTTCTGTATTAAAATACACAAAAGAGGTTAAAGTGTCTTTGTTTTTGTGTCCCTCCAGCAAACAGACCCCGACGATCCGTGAGAGGCTGTCAGAATTGCTGTCGGACTGCCCATGAACAACTAGTTCTAATGAGTAATGCTTTCCGACTAATGGGTGAAATGCTGGCTGTCTACAGTGATCATAATTAGTAAGGTGATTTATCTGAATTTGTTTTAAATGATTTTTTTTGTTTGTTTCATTTGGTAATTGTTTTTATTGTTGATTTTCACTTGCAATAGTTTGATAAACGTGTTTATCGTGTTTTTATAGTGTCTGTTTTAAGGTTTAAGTGTGTTTTGATTTTATGATAATGGATGAAAACAAACCGTTAGGGCTTAGGCAGAGTTTATCAGACGAGGTAGATCGACATTATCAGAATGAGTCAAACTTTCAAAATGGTATAACTGAAAATAGTGTAATTGAAAACGAGACCTCCTCCAGTCAGTTCTTAGATCCGTTACACGCTATAAATCAAGCTCTCGTTGATCTGGAACGCTTAGAAAATGAAATACCAACTGCTTTATTAGATGAAATCAACCAAATGAATGAACCCTTTCACCAAAACAACATCCCCTCTTTACCCGAACCCGAGCATATTCCTGTCTTAAACTCATCTGTGTCTCAAATACAAAATGCTCTCTCCGAGCTTGAAAATAATGCAATCCCTGCCTTAAACCCCTCTACATCCTCGACCTATCAGACCCCCATTAACTCCCCCCTCATGGAGCAGGTAGCCAACACTCCTCCCTTGCAACAGCAAGGGGGCAGCGTGTCTCAAAATAATGACCCTGTGGCACCTCAAGCAAGAGTCATATCACGACATAGATTCTGTAATTATGAAATACGTCAGGTGTTGCGCTTTCCTTCTCCAACAATGCAGAGGGTGTAGTGGATTATGCACAACAAGCCTTGTCACACAGGAGACCCCAAGATGTGGTGCAGTTGGAGCTAAGAGGTGAAAATCTCCGTAATAATGTATCAGTTATCTTACAGGATGGTGATGTTGACAATTTAGCGGGTTTTGAAAGACTTTTGCTTCGCATAGTACAATCCAATTGGACCATTATGACAGATGGTGATCTAGAACTGGTTCTCCAAGTGATCACCTGCCCTACAGGCGCGGGTAAAAGAGCAATGGTGGATAAAATGTTACAAAGCGAAATCTTAAAAAAAAACAACGCTTTCTGTACATTGTAGAAAACGAGGGGAATCAGTTGTGTTTCGCCGTCTGTCTGGCTCATCTTCTACATCCCCTCCTCAACGATAGACAGGCTCTTGAATGCGGCAGAGAGATTCAAAACAAAGTGGGAATGGATGAACAGACACCTGTAGCCTTAAGCGACATCACGCGATTTGAACGTGCTTTGGACTGCAAAATTGTAGTGTTTTATAGAGGAGACGACGATAGGGCCCTCTGTAAATTCATGACCAAAAGCCCAAGACAGAGTAAAACCCTATTTTTGTTTCTCTTTCAGAACCACTACTATGGTATAAAAAATCTAAAGGCCTTTCTGGGTTCCCCATATCTGTGTGAGTACTGTTACACAGGGTACAACGGTGTGCTGAGTCACCGATGCCCTGCTCATTGTTCCGTTTGCTTTGACCCTACCTGTAATCAGAAGGGGTTCCAGCCTATTGTGTGTAAAGAGTGTAACAGGACATGTCGTTCAGAATTCTGTCTGACAAAGCACAAAGAGCCTACAGAGAGGCCCAGAGCCAAAAAATTAGCCAGCACGTGCTCGTTGTACAAAAAATGTAACAAATGTGCACAGCTTTACTACTCAGCGATGAGTGGTGAAGGTAAACCACACACATGTCCTGCGGTGAAGTGTAAAATCTGTGGTGAGAAGTTGACCTCTGACGTTACAGATAAGAGGGAGATGCACCAATGCTACATCCAGACACTACCACCTGAAACAAAACACACAGAAAAATTGGTGTTTTATGATTTTGAAACATACGTCAATGAAAATGGCGTTCACATACCCTTTTTGGTGTGTACAAAAACGTTAGATGGCAAAACATGGAGCTCTCAAGGCAGAAATTGTGCCAACGAGTTTCTCACGCATTTCAGACGCCCTCTGTACAAAAATGCTGTGTTTATTGCTCACAATGCTCGAGGTTTTGACTCCTACCTACTCCTCAACGCCATGCTTGAACAAGCATTAAAACCCTCTTTGATTTTGCAAGGTTCAAAAGTCATCTGTATGACAGATCCTGATTTTAATCAAAAATACATTGACTCACTGTCCTTTCTTTCCATGCGTTTAGCCGATATGCCAAAAGCTCTCGGTTTTGATGACAGAATTAAAGGCTATTTTCCCCATAATTTTAGCTCACCTGCCCATTTGACCTACACAGGTCCCTACCCGGAGCCAAAAATGTACGGTACAGAACGCATGACTACGGTACAGCTGAAAGACTTTAACACCTGGTACGAGACGGCGCGCTGCGGTACATTTGATTTCATGAGAGAGGCCCGCCTCTATTGTGAAAACGATGTTGAGATTCTCGCAGAGGGATGCAAGCTGTTCAGAAAACAGTATATTGATGAAACAGCGGTTGACCCTTTTAGCCGCGCGACTATAGCATCTGCATGCATGAAAGTGTTTGTGACCAACTTCCTTCCTCCTAAAAGTTTGGCCATCCCCGATCCCAATAACTACACACGCCAGTTCAAAACGTATTCGAACGCAGGCGTACAGTGGCTGCATTGGGTGGCTAGCACCGAAAACATCTTCATTCAACATGCTTTAAATGAGGGGGAAAAACAACTAGGAAAATACTTTGTAGATGGTTTTGCAGAGATCCAAGGTGTGAAATATGTATGGGAGTTTCTGGGATGTTTTTTCCATGGCTGTCCGAGTTGTTTCAAAGCTCATGAGACCAATCCTTTGACCGGCTACCCTTTTGAGGAGATGCATGCGAGGAGCGAGGAGAAATTACGTGAGTTACAGGCCATCCACAATGCTAAAGTGATTGTCATGAGAGAGCACACATGGACCGAGATGAAAAAATCACATCAGGGGTTAAAAGATTTTCTCAAACAGTATAAAGCTCCTCAACCTCTCTCACCCCGCGAAGCTTTGTATGGGGGTCGAACCTGTGCAGTAAAGTTGAGACACACTGCGGGTGCTAATGAAACGGTAGACTACTTTGATGTGACATCGCTGTATCCCTATGTCAACTGTAACTTTCCCTATCCTTTGGGGCACCCAAAATAATCTACAAAGATTTCAAAGAACCCCAAAGCTACTTTGGAATAATCAGAGCCAAAATCTGTCCACCACAGGGTTTATTTTTTCCTGTTTTGCCCTATAGAACTGCAGCTGGTAAACTTCTCTTCACACTCTGCCGAACGTGCGCTGAACTTAATTTTCAGGAGGGTCCATGTCAACACAGTGATGAGGACAGAGCGATGACAGGGGTCTGGGTCACTCCTGAATTTAACAAGGCCTTGGAGATGGGGTATCGGGTAGCTGAGATCACAGAGGTATGGCAATTTGATAGACAGAGCGACTCGATTTTTGTTCAGTACATGCACACTTTTCTGAAGGGTAAACAGGAAGCTTCAGGTTACCCCCCTGAAGCCAAAGATCAGGCAGCCCGAGAAAAGTACATCAAAGACTATCAGACCAATCAGGGTGTTTTGCTGGATGCGTCTAAAATTCATCCGAATCCTGCAAAAAGACAAGTCTCCAAATTATGTCTCAACACATTCTGGGGGAAATTTGCACAACGCTCGAATCAGACACAGACTAAACTAATCACTGACCCTGAAGAGTTTTTTAACTTTATGTTTTCTGGAAAATATAAAGTTAAATACTTTTCCTTTGTCAACGACAAAACAGCATTGTTGCAGTGGAGTTATGGTGAGCAATGTATTGCCCCTCCAAACAAGGTAGACAACGTCTTTATAGCTGCTTTCACCACAGCTTATGGGCGTCTAAAGTTGTACAGTTATTTGGAGCAGCTGCAGGAGAGGGTCTTGTATTATGATACAGACAGTATTATCTATGTCACAAAAGAGGGGGAGAGACGGCTTGACCTGGGTAATTACATGGGAGATTTGACTGATGAGTTAGATGGTGATAGCATAAAAGAATTCGCGGCCGCGGGTCCTAAAAGTTATGCGTACCAGACTCGTAACAACAAAGTAGTACTTCGTGTAAAGGGTATCACTCAAACGCATGATTGTTGTGAACAAGTTAACTTTAACAGTGTCAAACAGTTGGTGGAGAATTATGTGCTAAACTCTGATGATGGGGGTGTAATTGAAACACCTCAGCACAATATTGTACGAGATAAAAGGGGGTTTTTCCTTAGAAACTCATCATTCCAGAAAAAGTTTAGAGTGGTGTATGACAAGAGACGGTTACTGAGCCAAGGTCAAACCCTGCCTTTTGGCTATTGAAGAAAAAAATGTTTTCATCCAATGAAATTGAGTTTGACCCTAGACTAAGAACACCTTTCTCCTGTCAAATTGTGGGGCCAAGCGGGTCCGGTAAAACTTATTTTGTAAAGTCTGTGTTGGAATCCTGTAATCATGTCATCGACAACATGCCTAGTAATATTGTTTGGATTTTTACTTCTTATCAACCGATGTACACTGAACTGCAGCAGAAGAATAAAAGATCAAATTTGTTGAAGGATTGCCTGATTCTTTTGACGATGAAATTCTATTCCCACCTGATCAAGATCATCTTATAATTTTGGATGATGTCATTTTCCAGGCCTCTGATCACCCTGAAGTTGTGAAAATTTTCACACAGTACAGGCACCACAAAAAAATGAGTGTCATCATGTTGACTCAAAATGTATTTCACCGTGGAAAGCACAGTAGGACAATTAGTTTAAATAGTAACTATTTGGTTTTGTTTAAAAACCCTCGAGATAGATTACAGATGAGTATATTAGCTCAACAAATATTTCCTGGACGAAAAGCCTTTTTCTTAGAAAGTTTTGAAGATGCTACCAAAGATCCTCACGGGTATTTAATCTTGGACCTCACACCTAGTTGCCCAGAAACTTACAGACTAAGATCAGGAGTGCTACCCCACCAGTGGCCCGTTGTCTATCTTCCCAAATCAAAGTCCTGAGCCAACATGTCAGCACGTTTAAAAAGGAATGCGCCTTTACTGAGGGCTTTATGTCACGCCACGCCTCAAAAGCGTAAAGATATTCTCAACAATTGCTCATCGGACTTTCTTCAGTCTTTGTGTGAACTCTCTTTGAATCTTTTAAAAGGAAACATTCCTATGACCTCAGCTCAATATAACAAACTCAAAAAACAAAAGAAAATTATAAGGTTGCTGGCTAATAAAAAAACAAGTCTTAAAACCAAACATAAGGCTCTGACAAAACAGTCTGGAGGCTTTCTGTTACCTCTTCTTTCAACAATCCTTCCTGTCATTTTGGGAGGGCTAATTAATAGATAAATCATGAGTCAGAAAATGTTTTTGGTGACGCCTCAGCAACTAAACCGGCTGAATCATTCTGTACCATCTGCATCCAACGCTGAAATAATGAGACATACGGTAGAAAATGATTTGGATGAAAAAATGAGGGCAATACTAAACGAGGATGGTATGAACGCTTATGAAAAAATTAAGAAATACAATGCCCTGCTGCAAAGATACCTAGCTCTGGTCAAACAAGGAGAGAAGGAAGAACGCACATTACTCTGACAGTAGCTAAAGATTCTGAGGCACTGAAGCAGCGCGTAGAAGGAGGAGAAGAAGAAGAAGAAGAAGACAAGAAACTGGATGAAACAGCAAGGGAGGTTGTACAAAACTTGCCGGCTCGCTATCGTAACAATGCACAGTACATCATAAAGAAATTAACCAAGAGCCGAGGTGGGTGGACTCCCAGGGGAGAGTTTGTGTATAACGGAGATGTTGTGAAAGGTTCACACCTGCTTGACTTGTTTAAAAGTCTGACCGTCTCCCTTAAAAAATCCCAGCCTCCTAAGGGATGGACAGGTTTTTTGAATACTTTGTCAGAACTCAACATCCCTTTATCAATGATGAGCAACCCTCAAGCTCGAGAGCAATATAGGCAACTTCAAACGGTAGGACCCCGGGAAGATGAGGAGGAGGTGATGTCCCTGCCGATAAAGAGGGGAAGAAGGAAAAAGCAGACACCCCGTGCCCCTCGCAGGGATGGAGAGGATGATGAGACACAGCCCTTACTATTTAAGAAGGGAAGAAAACACAGACGAGCATCTTTAACCCCCCAGTGGGAAGAGGTGGACGCCTCGCCACCCTCAAGAAGAGAAAAAAGAAAGAAACTCACCCCCCTTGCTCCACGATGGCTTAATTTTAACCCATAATAAAAACAATTCAAGCTAAAGTTATTTGTCTCAAGATTCATCTTTATTTATAACTTATAACAGTCTTTGAACATTTGTAAAGAACAAACTGTGTGGTGAAAAGATGCGGCTCTTTGTTGCCTCATACAACGTTGATATTTTTTCACAAAATTGGATACCATAGAATCATTTCTTGTAAAATCATCATGATACAAAGACAGCACATTCTCAAAAGATAGACCGCAGGCTCGATGACACAAATAGAACACACAATGCTGACCACATGTGGTAGACAGTGTATGCTGAAACTGATGTGTATGATATGAAATGGTTTCACAGCGTTTTTTTAAAAATTCCAAGATACTTTTGGGGTAATGTGAAAACTCTGGTGAGAATCCAAAAGAATCAAAAAAG